GCTCCCATTTGATCTCTTAGGATGCCACCTTCTCCAATTCTGCCCGGGTTGCTTAATGCACTGCCGTCCGTGTTGATTTTGACCCAACGAGCTGGAGGCTTCATCCATTTAACGAGTGTCGCTTTGATGTCATGAATGCAATTCTCCCCCAGCTGAAACAGTTCCATCCAGTTTGAAGGCCATTTGATTTGGGGGAAGTTTGTATTCATTAGTTTGTAGTTGTCCTTGTAGATTGCATATTTGACTCAACTAATATTGGACGATTTGCCTCCGTATTTACTAGCACAACGATTCTTCCAAAGGTTCCAACAAATGAATAATGGTGTCGCTTGTAGTAGTAGCTTGAGTGCTTTATTGTTATACTTCGCTGACCACCATTGTATGATGAGTTGAGTAAGAGAGCTGTGATCTGTGATGATTCCAACAGCATCTACAAAGCTTCTCCACACGTATGTCGCGAATTGTACTGTGTTGAATATGTGCTCTATCGTGTCGAGACCAGACCTGTTACAACAACAAAACAGCTTGCTGGCTCAATGCCAAAGCTAGTTAGTTTTCATTAGTAGGGAGTTTGCCTCTTAGTGTTCTCCACAAAAGAAATGAGATTTTAAAAGGGATACACTTATGCCAAATGAATGAGTTGAATTTGGTCTTGGTTCTCTTTTCTCTGATCTCATTCCATGCAGATGAACAGCTGAAGTTCCCATCCATGCTTGGTTTCCCTATTGCTAAGTCTGGGAGGTCCTGCTGGGTGGAGAATTCTGTGGAGAGGATGCTGGCCAGCTGACTGTTAGGTGCTTGTTGTAGAAGCTTGGTCCAGTTCCACTGTCCTTCCAGCCGAAAATCTGCCACTGTGGTATTGTTGAATCTGTTGCTGTCGGTAGAGTAATGAGCAATAGGTCCAATGCCCAGCCAATTATCCCACCAAAAGGAGCAATTGCCAGAGTTGAGTTTCCATTGAATGTGTTTTTCGACTTGGAGTTTGTTGTGCATAAGATGCTTCCATGTCAGTGACTCCCCTGTATCCCATTTCTTGCTAATTGGGTTAGACCTTTGGCAATATTTAGCCTTCAAAAAATCTCCCCAAAGAGTTTGTTTGGATCTAAAGATCCACCATTGTTTGTATTGGAAGGCTAAAACACACATCTTTGAGGTTCCTCATACCAACACCCCCTTTATCGTAAGGAAAGCTTAAATTTTTCCATGACGACCGATGATATTTTTTCCTCTCATTCCTCCATCCCCAGAAGAAGTCAGCCGTGATGCTTTGGATTTGCCTGAGGACAGTGACTGGAGGTGTTACTGAGGCTAACAGGTGAATAGGTAAAGAGTGCAACACATGCTTGACAAGGATTGCTCTACCACCATAACTTAAAAGCTTAGAATGCCAACCTGTGATCCTGCATAAAACTTTGTTAATAAGGTCAGAAAAATAAATAATCCTAGGCCTACCAACAAATAAGGGACAGCCGAGGTAGGTGATAGGGCCCTCTTTGCCTGAAACCAGTGATTCTCTTGATTCTGTCCTTTGTGCTGTTGAATGCACACGAGTGAACCATGAAGTGGCTTTTCTCGGTGTTAACTAATTGGCCTGAGGACTGCTCATAGGACTGGAGAGTCTGCATGATAAGCTTCAGTGTTTTCTGTCTTCCAGAAGTGAAGAGGATAATGTCATCCGCAAAACTTAAGTGATTCACTTGGGGGCCTCTAGGTTCCATGAAGAAACCATGGTATTCGGGATTGTTGTGCAGCCTGTTCAGAGATCTGGATAGTACTTCTGCACCTAAAATAAATAGGGCAGGAGATAACGGATCGCCTTGCTTGAGTCCTCTAGTGGATTGAAAGAAACCATGTCTTTTGCCATTGACAATAATTGAGTACCAATTGTTAGCCATGATTCTCCAAATCATATCGATAAGAACTTCATCAAATCCCATCCTTCTTAGCACCAAACATATATAAGACCAAGAAACCCTGTCATACGCTTTAGCCATATCCAATTTAATAATAACATTGCTTCCAATATTAGGCTTCTTAATTTGATGAATAATCTCTTGGGCCAGCATAATATTTTCCGAAATACTTCTCCCTTTGACGAACCCCGACTGATTAAGAGAAACCAAACTAGGTAGAATAGGACCTAGTCTAGAACTTACTAGCTTAGATATAATCTTACTAGTGAAGTTGCTTAGACTGATGGGCCTGAATTCTGAAAGTTTGTTAGGGTTTTTCACCTTAGAGAGGAGAACAATGCAAGAATGAGAGAAATATTTGGGAATCATTTGACCACAAAAGAATGCATGAGTGACACCAAGGAGATCATGCTTGATAATGTGCCAACACTTCTGGAAAAAATATCCATTCATCCCATCTGGACCAGCTGCAGAGTTAGGGTTCATGGAGAATACTACTTCCTTCAACTCTTCCAGATTAGGCAGAACAGTAAGTCTATCATTTTGTTCCTGGGTGACCATCTGTGGTATACAGTCCAGGACATCCTCATTGATTACTTTGCTATCTCCTGTGAAAATTTTCTGGAAATGGTCACAGGCAGCCTCAGCAATAACCTCATCTTCCTGTATCCATTCCCCATCCTCCCTGATTATTTTGTGAATGAATAACCTTCTTCTTCTTCCCCTTATCAGGGAGTGGAAGTATTTTGTATTGCAATCACCTTCCTTGAACCACTGCAGCTGTGTTTTTTGTTTCAAAATGGAGTCTTCTATCTTCAAGAATCTGATATACCTAGCATTGAGTTCATGAAGCATAGATCTATTAATCTCACTAGGGTCTTGAATCAGCTGCTCCTCCATTGTTTTGACCTTCTCCTCATATTCCCTGACTTTAGCAAAAATGTCCCCAAACTCCTTTCTGGACTAGTTGCTAAGAGTGTTGGATAACCTCTTCACTTTCTGATGAAATTTCCACATGTTGTTACCCTCAACATTCCTGTCCCAGCAGGCTTTAACAATGTCCAGGAAATTAGGTTGGTCAGTCCAGCAATTAAGAAATTTAAAATATTTGATATGATCATCTTCTCTAGCATTCATTTCCATCAGTAGAGGGCAGTGATCTGACCCTATAGAAGGTAAATGGGTGATAGTAGTCTGAGACATCTTTTCCAGCCAGGCATCAGTAACTAGAGCTCTGTCCAGCCTTTTCCAAACTCTCTGTTGTATACCCCTGTTGTTGGATCAAGTAAATTTCTGTCCACTGAAGCCTAAATCTATAAGACCACCGGCCTCAATAACAACAATGAATTCTAAACTTTTTCTCATGTTGTAAGGAACCCCTCCCAGTTTTTCTTCAATAGAAGTAATAACATTGTAGTCTCCCACAGAACACCAAGGCCTATCAATATCGGCAGAGTGATGTAACATTCTATCCCATAAAGGCCTTCTGAGATGGTCTTTACATTTGGCACACACAAAAGTGGTGGTGAAGTGGTTTTGGAGTTCATTATGGCTAAATTCACAAGTAATTTGTTGCTCATCCTCCTCTAGTATTACACAATCAATGTCCATGTACCACAAGAGCCATATTTTACCATTGCAATTACTCACACCATGCTCCATAGATAACTGATTTTTAACACTTTGAATATGAGTATTGTTCGAGAAGGCTTCCATGATGGCAATGATAGATAGTTGATGCATCTTCTTGAGCATTTTGAGTCTTTCGATTACAACCTTTGGGTGTTGATCCCCCACACATTCCAAATAATTGTACTAATCATTGAGATGATGGGAAAGTAAAACAGCCTAGTGTTTGGTCTGCCAGCAGTGACAGTGTTGATATCCTGAACTTTGAATTTGAATCTCTCATGGTGTAACCCTCTAGGTGATAATCCCTGACTATTAGCCACCTGTTGAATTTCTTCTGCAAAGTCTTTATCCGGATGAGGACTAAAAGCTCTAATAAGAAGCTCACTAGTCTCATCATCCTCATCAGGATCTTTGAGGGATTGATTATACACATCCGGTTCATCCTCTGAATTATCAACTGCATATTCATCTATTATAGGGCTTGTGTTCAGTTGACATTTTGCAGACCTGTCATCAGGAGGGACATTAATTGGAGGACTCATGTATTGGGTTTGTAAAGGGGTAATATCCATGCCCAAGTGTTCATCAACCATAATAAACTTCTTGCAAACTTCCCTTTCTTTTTGTTGTTCCCCCTGCTGGACATTGTCCTGCTGTATGCTCTGTCTTTTTTTAGCAGCCTCTCCTTTTTTCTTACTGGGTTTGTTCTTGCTTTTGGGAGTATTTCCTTGGTTGCTAGTGCTTCCTTTGGCTCCCATATCTTTTGGCATGGCTCCTTTGTTCTGTTTATCTGCAGGTCCTGCCCTCACTTGCTATTTTTCCTTATTATTTTCATTACTAATCAGTTTCCCTGGCCCTGAATGTACCTGTTGCTGCACCTGTTGCTGTACCTGTTGGTGAGATTGGACAGTAGTGGTAGCAGGAGCTCTAAGGTCAGGACTATGGTCAAGATATGTACCCTCATGCATAACATGAGTCAAATTCCCCCTTTTGGACCCCTTTTCCTGCAGGTTAGTGTGGCTCTCCTGACACCCCCCATCCATCCCTCCTTCAACTTCAGTAGTACCATTAGAAATTAAAATATCGGGGTTTGTGGGAATTGGGAGCATTGAATCAATACCTGTGCTCTTGTTATTTGCTTGGATTCCTGTTTGCATGATTTGTTCTTTTTGGTTGTGGTCTGTTTTCGACTTGCTTTGTGATTCTTGTGTTGCTTTCCCTTCATTGTTGTTATGCCTCTGAGTGACTTGAGACTATTTTTCCTTCATGCTAAGGTTAGAAAAAGGATTATGACTAGAAGCATTATTTATACCTTTTTGCTAAGTTGTGGGTTTGTGGTTGATCTCTTGACACTTTGTTCTTTGGTGAGGTTGGTCTCCACACTGCCTTTTGTATTTTCTCCTCCTATGATTTGTTGTTTCTTCTTCTTGACACTTGCCATTCTTCTTCCTTTTGCTATTCAGGTGGTAACTGGTTGTTCCCTTCTTTGGTGTTTTGATGTTGTTGTTCCTCTTGCTCCCTTGGCCTGACTTGTCTATGCTCATTTCCTTGCTGTCCCTGTTCGCTATTACTTATGTTTTTCATCTCTGCTCCTAATTCTTTTCTACGTTTGAGGTCCTCATCTCTTATTTTGAAATTACAATCCCCTATCATGTGACCTTGATGCTTGCAGTAAGCAAAATAGGGAGGGATATTTTCATATTCGATTGGTTGCCATCTCCCTATAGTGAGGTCCTCCTCATCCAAGCCTATCCAAACATGTCGAGTTCTAGCTTTGGTGAGATCTACTTGGACTTTTACTTTGGCCATACTAGCTCTAGTTCGTTTAATGGAGGCTGTATCTAAGTAGAGAACTTTGCCCACTGATTCCAGCAGAGGTGTGATGAACTCTTTCTTGAAGAAGTGCCATGGTAGGCCTGGCAGCAGTATCCATATGGGGACAATGGGTGTTTCTTCTTCAGGCTTAAAGTTGGGGGTCCAGGCTTGTATTCTCATGAGTTTTCCCTCAATGGTCATTCTTTGTTGTGTCCATACCGTGTTATAGTCCAGTTCGTTTTCCAAATCAATAAACACATGCCTAGCATTATAGTGTGCAATATTGACCCCCCTATTCAGCTGAGTTTGTAGGATGAAACTCTTCCTGATGAGTTCTATCATTGGCATGGTGGTACGGAACTTACCTATGAGGGTATATTTGCAGTACACGACTAACTTGTACATGAAATCATCCATATTATAGATCACAGCAGGCTGGCCCCATTTAGTAGTGTGCTTGGGTGGAGCAAGTTCGATAGGAGTGGTCTGCGTAGTATGGATTTGCCTGATCCTAGCAGCTAGAGTTTGCACCACTGTGTAAGGAGCAGGTTCGACACTTGGGTCCTGTTTGGTTTTTTGGTTCTCGTTGGAAATGTTTGGTTCTTTGGACTGGTTGGACTGATGTATTTGCTGGTTCTGCTGGTTAGAGCTGATATGTCTATCAAAATTGCTAGAGAGTTTAGGGAAGTCCCTATAGTAGTTGCTTGGTTCAGTATTCCCTCCATGTTCAGTTGGTTGATATAAGGATATAGGGTTTAGAGTTTAGGTTTAGGGTTTAGGGTTTAGGGTTAGGGTTTAGGATTTTGAGTTTAGGATTTAGGATTTAGGGTTTAGGGTTTAGGGTTTAGATTTTAAGATTCAGGGTTTAGGGTTTAGGATTTAGGGTTTAGGGTTTAGGGTTTAGATTTTAAGATTCAGGGTTTAGGGTTTAGGATTTAGGGTTTAGGGTTTAGGGTTTAGATTTTAAGATTCAGGGTTTAGGGTTTAGGATTTAGGGTTTAGGGTTTAGGGTTTAGATTTTAAGATTCAGGGTTTAGGGTTTAGGGTTTAGGGTTTAGGGTTTAGGGTTTAAGGTTTAGAGTATAAGATTTAGGGTTTAGGGTTTAGTGTTTAGGTTTAGATTAGGGCTTAGGGTTTAGGGTTAGAGTTTTGTGTTTTAGTTTTTGGGCTTAGGGTTAGGGTTAGGATTTTGAGTTTAGGATATAGGGTTTAGGGTTTAGTTTTTAAGGTTAACGGTTTTGGGTTTAAAGTTTGAATTTAGTGTGTAGGGTTTAGATTTAGGATTTATGATTTAGTGTTAGGGTTTAGGGTTTTGAGTATAGGATTAAGGGTTTAGGGTTTTGGGTGTACGCTTTAGAGCTTAGGATTTAGGGTCGAGGGTTTAGGGTTTAGAGTTTGTATTTAGGGTTTAGGGTTTAGCATTCTGGGTTTTGGGTTATGGGTTTAGGGTTTAGGGTTTAGAGATTGGGTTTAAGGTTTAGGGTTTAGGATTTAGGGTTTAGAGTTTAGGGTTTAGGGTTTAGGGTTTAGAGTTTAGGGTTTAGGGTTGAATGTTTATGGTTTAAAGTTTAGGGTTTAGGGTTTAGGTTTGAGGGTTTAGAGTTTAGGGTTTGGGGTAAAGGGTTTAGAGTAAGGGTTTAGGGTTTATGGGGATTAGGGTTTAGATTTTATGAATAAGGGTTAGGGTTAGGGTTTAATGTTTAGGGTTTAGGGTTTAGGGTTTGGACTTTAGGATTTATGGTTTGGGTACTAGGGTTTAGAGTTTGTATTTTTGATTTAGACTTTAGGGTTTAGGGTTTGAGGTTTAGGATTTAGAGTTAGGGGTTAAGGGTTAGGGTTTTGAGTTTAGTGTAAATGGTTTAGAGTTTACGATATTGGGTTTAGGGTTTATTGTTTGGATTTAGGATTTAGGGTTTAGGGTATAGGGTTTATAGTTTAGGATTTACGGTTTAGGGTTTATGATTTGGGTTTAGGGTATAGGGTTTAGGGTTTAGAGTTTAGGATTTACAGGGTAAGGTTTAGTGTTTAGAGTTTAGGATTTAGGATTTAGGGTTTAGGGTTTAGGGTTTTGGGTTTTGAGTTTAGGATTTAGGGTTTAGGGTTTAGGTTTTAGAGTTTAGGGATTAGGGTTTAGAGTTTAGGATTTATGATTTAGGGTTTATCATTTAAACTTTGGATTTAGGGTTTGGGGTTTAGGGTTTAGGGTTTAGGGTTAAGGGTTATGATTTAGGGTTTTGAGTTTCGGATTTAGTATTGAGGGTTTAGGGTTTAGGGTTTAGAGTTTAGGATTTAGGGTTTAGGGTTTATAGTTTAGGGTTTAATTTTTGGATTTAGGGTTTAGGGTTTAGGTTTTAAGGTTTGGGGTTTTGTGCTGAGGATTTTGGGTTTAGGCTTTAGGTTAGGGTTTAAGGTTTAGGGTTAAGAGTTTTGGATTAAAGGTTTAGGGTTTAGGGTTTAGGTTAAAGGTTTAGGGTTTAGGGTATTGGGATTGGGATTAGGGTTTAGGGTTTAGGGTTTTGGATTAGGGTTAGGGTGTAGGGTTTTGCGTTTAGGATATAGGGTTAGGTTTAGAGTTCAGGGTTTTGGGGTTAGGCTTTCGGGTTATGAGTTTGAATTTAGGGTTTATGATTTAGAGTTTAGGATTTAGGTTTTTGGGGTTAGGGTTTTAGAGTTTTGGATTTAGGGTTTAGGGTTTTGGTTAAGGGTTAAGTGTTAAGGGTTAAGGGTTTTAGGGATTAGGGATTTGGGTTTTAGGGATTAAGGTTTAGGGTATAGAGTTTAGGGTTTAGGGTTTAGGGTTTAGGTTTAAGGTTTAGGGTTTAAAGTTTAGGATTTAGGGTATAGAGTTTAGAGTTTAGAGTTTAGTGTTTAGGGTTTAGGGTTTAAGGTTTAGTGTTGAAGGTTTAGGGTTTAGGGTTTAGTGTTTAAAGATTAGAGTTTAGGGTTTAAGGATTATGGTTTAGGGGTAAGGGCTCTGGGTTTATTGGGTTTAGGGTTTAAGTTTTAGAATTTAGGTTTAGGCTTTAGATTTTAGGGTTTAAGGTTTAAGGTTTAAGGTTTAGGGTTTAGGGATTATGGATTAGGGTGTAGGGTTCTGAGTTTAGGATTTAGGGTTAGGGTTTTAGGGTTTGGGGTTAAGGGTTCAAGGCTTAGGGTTTAGGGTTTAGAGTTTGGAATTAGGGTTTAGCGTTTGGAATTTAGGATATATGTTTATAATTTAGGGTTGTAAGTTTAAGATTTAGGGTTTAAGGTTTAGGATTTATGTTTTAGGGTTTAGAGTTTGGATTTAGAGTTTAGGGTTTAGGGTTTAGGTTTTAGGGTTTAGGGTTTAGGATTTTGTGTTGAGGGTTTAGGGTTTAGGGTTTAGGGTATAGGTTTAGGGTTTAAAGATTAGAGTACAGGGTTTAGAGTTTAGGGTTTAGGGTTTAGGGTATAGGGTTTAGGCTTAGAGTTTAGGAGTAACGGTTGAGGGTTTAGGGTTTAGAGTTTGGATTTAGAGTTTAGGGTTTAGGATTTATGATTTGGGGTTAGGGATTAGGGTTTTGAGTTTAGGATTTAGGGTTTACTGTTTATGATTTAGGTTTTAGGGTTTAACTTTTTGGGTTTTGAGTTTAGGATTTCGGGTTTACAGATTAAGATTTAGTGTGTAGGATTTACGATTTAGGGGATTAGGGTTTAGAGTTTGGATTTAAGGTTTAGGGTTTCGGTTTAGGATTTAGGGTTTAGGGTTTAGGGTTTAGGGTTTAGACTTTGGATTAAGGTTTAGGGTTTAGGGTTAGGATTTCGGGTTTTGAGTTTAGGATTTAGGATTTAGGTTTAGGGTTTAGGGCAAAGGTTTAGGGTTTAGGGTTTAGAGTTTAGGATTAAGGATTTAGGGTGTAGGGTTTAAGTTAAAGGTTTAGGGTTTAGGGATTGGGTTTAGGGTTTAGTGTTTAGGGTTTAGGGTTTAGTGTTAGGGTTTTTTAGGATTTAGTGTTTAGGGTTTAGAGTTTGGATTTATGGTTTAGGGTTTAGATTTTAGGGTTTAGGGTTTTGGGTTTAGGATATAGGGTTTAGGCTATAGGTTAGGGTTTAGGGTTTAGAGTTTAGGATTAAGGATTTAGGGTGTAGGGTTTAAGTTAAAGGTTTAGGGTTTAGGGATTGGGTTTAGGGTTTAGTGTTTAGGGTTTAGGGTTTAGTCTTATGTGTTTAGGATTTAGAGTTTAGTATTTAGGATTTAGTGTTTAGGGTTTAGAGTTTGGATTTAAGATTAAGGGTTTAGGGCTAAGGGTTAGGGGTTAAGGGATTAGGGATTCGGGTTTAGGGATCAGGATTTTGGGTATAGATTTTAGGATTCAGGGTTTAGGGTTTAGGGTGTAGGGTTTAGATTAATTGTTTAGGGTTTAGAGTTTAGGATTTAGGGCTTAGTTTTAAGGTGCAGGGTTTAGGCTTTAGTGTTAGGGTTTAGGGTTTTGAATTTAGGATATAGGGTTGGGTTTAGGGTATAGGGTTTAGCGGTTAGGGTTTTGGGTTAGGATTTAGGGTTAGGGTTTTAGGATTTAGGGTTTACGGTTTAAAGTTGAGAATTTAGGGTTTAGGGCTTAGAATTTGGATTTAGAGTTTAGGGTTTAGGGTTGAATATTTATGGTTTAAAGTTTAGGGTTTAGGGTTTAGAGTTTAGAGTTTAGAACTTGGGTAAAGGGTTTAGGGTAGGGGTTTAGGGTTTATGGGGATTAGGGTTTAGGTTTTATGAATGAGGGTTAGGGTTAGCATTTAGGGTTTAGGGTTTAATGTTTAGGGTTTTAGGTTTAGGGTTTGGACTTTAGGATTTATGGTTTATGGTTTAGGGTTTAGAGTTTGTATTTAGGATTCAGGGTTTAGGGTTTGGGGTTTAGGATTTAGGGTTAGGGAGTAGGGTTTTGAATTTAGGGTAAATGGTTTAGAGTTTACGATTTTGGATTTAGGGTTTATTGTTTGGATTCAGGATTTAGGGTTTAGGGTATAGGGTTTAGGGTTTAGAGCTTAGGATTTATGGTTTAGGGTTTAGGGTTTATGATTTGAGTTTAAGGTATAGGGTTTAGAGTTTAGAGTTTAGGATTTACGGTTTAGGTTTAGGGTTTAGAGTCTAGGATTTAGGGTTTAGGGTTTAGGGTTTTGAGTTTTGAGTTGAGGATTTAGGATTTAGAATTTAGGGTTTAGGGTTTAGGGATTAGGGTTTAGACTTTAGGATTTATGATTTAGGGTTTAGGGTTTAGACTTTGGATTTAGGGTTTAGGGTTTAGGGTTATTATTTAGGGTTTTGAGTTTTGGATTTAGGATTTAGGCTTAGGGTTTAGAGTTTAGAGTTTAGGATTTAGGGTTTAAGGTTTAGAGTTTAGGGTTTAGAGTTTGGATTTAGGGTTTAGGGTTTAAGTTTTTAAGGTTTAGGGTTTTGTGCT